ACACACACACACACACATTTTTGGGCACAAAGCGATTATTAAAGTTAAGTGTGTCTCATAATAAATACATTTTTGCCAACAACAAACCTAATTTACTGCATATTTTATTCTGTAAGCGTTCAACATGCAGCTGTGGTGTTGTTCTGTTTCAGCGCTTCCAATTATTGGAACGAGCCAAAATTGCCAAGAAAGAAACATTCTTATAAAACCATTATGCTTGCAGAAAAGTGTTTTAGTCGTGACCTTTAATTAAAATGCAGAGTCCATGCAAGCGTCCTGGCTGTTTAACAGAGAGACTGGGCACTTCTTATCCTCGGGGGCTTGTTCAGTCTTTAGGCAGAGTGGAGCTCCATGAACAGGCCTCGTGTTGTGCAACACCCTGGCTCATATATTTGGACCTACACATCACAGGCCAACGGTTGAGACAAGAACTGTGGTAAACAATGTGGGAACATGAAGTGCATCTACTTTGCTAAAGGGTGATTAAGACTTTTGATTTATGATGAAAAACTGGGGGAAAAAGCTACTCAGAGGAGCTACTCAGAGAGGCTGGACACAAACGCTGCCCAGGCAAATGCACGCTCTCCAGGCAAATGCACGCTCTCCAGGCTCTGTGAGGGCAGATGAGCAAATTTCACTGCAAAACACAAATTTTTAAAAAAAGAAGCCATCGCCTTGCAAAGTATGATTGATGATGCATTTATCATGGACAAGTGCCACAGCAGCAGAACATCTAAATGTTATCTTTGTTTGGAGAAGCACACGGAGGGAGAGAGTTGCATCAGTCTCCACTATGGCTGCCGTGTAATCCTCACAAGCATCGATGCACCTTGTCAAAACAAAGTAAATGATTTGTAGCACAAAGAAAAATGCTGTTTTCTTGCCCAGTTGCTATTAGCTAAACAAATCAGAAGAGTGAGAGTGGTTTCCCATTTTATGACTTTAGCATAAAGCAAGTCATCTGTACTTTTTGAGCCTCAGACTTATACGATCTGAACATAAGAAATCCACCGTGATTTAGGTGAAGAAATGATAGTGTTCTGCAGACGTCACGTTGACACAAGTGTTTTTGCCATGGCCACTGGATTATTAAACAGCGGGAGGAAGATGTTTTCATTAACAGGATCGAGCTAGAGGCGCAGCAGAGTCACCCATGAATGCAAGGATGAGACTGGCTTTGGGGCGGCTCACACAAACAATTCCAAACAGAAACTCTTACAGATTTATTCCAAAACCTTCAGCTCAAATATGTGCAGCTGTGATCGGCAGTTCCTTGAAATGACCAATGTGAACATTCTCAGTTTTTCTTTTCGTGCACAAAAAACCCCACTTGATTTATAGGTTGATCAGGTTTTTCCGACAGATGTAAAACATGATGTGTACACAGCAGTAGAGGGCCTCTGTCTCTGCTTGTCACTGATAAGCCTGCATGAAAAGGAACCAACAGAAGGGAGTTTTGTTTGCCCATCTGCAGCCCAGCTCTGAACCAACCAAGCGGAATCTTTCCCCATAACCTCCTGGACTGACAAAAGGCCTTCTGCTGCCTACTGACCGTTATGATCTTCATTCCAGGCTCCGTACCAGGAATCAGCACAACTTGTGGAGCCAACGACAACAGTGTGGTGTGTTACTTTGCATGTTTTGCTCTGTATATGTGTTGTTTGTTGTTATTTTGAAGGTTCAGTGTGCAGGATTTAGTGGCATCTAGCCATAATGTGGGCGATACCCCTTGCTTTGCTTTCACTTCCAACTATGGTGACTTCTGTGCAACGTAAAGAGAACCATTTATAAACAGAGATGATACAAAGTGCTCGTTCCGACGTAAAGAAAGCATCTTTATGAATACTATTTTCCACAAAGCTAGATGAGGTCAAATGGCCATTGAAGGCTGCAGCTGGGGGGCACCACAATTAGAAGTATTCTCTATATTTGGATTGCCATGACAACTACAATGCCGCAGATGGTGGTATCATTAGTTCATGCTCGCTCGCTCTGCATCTTCTGCCTCAACTTGCTACGCCTTCAGTTGTGCCCAGTGTGCATCCTCAGAGCCACACACAAGTGCACACGCCATGCACTCATCTATGTAACGCAATGTGCCAGCGCAGACGCCCACAGTGGCACACACGCTCTCGTCTTTGGGGAAAGACAAAAGGGGGGATTTCATTAGTTGTCTGAGAGAGAAAACTGAGAGAGACGTTTTTGTTGTTGTTGTGGACCCCACTTCAAGAGAAAGCGGTTCCCTGTCAGATGGTGTCCAAAGCAACGCTCTTAGATGGGGGGGATACAAGTGAGAGAAACAGAAAATGTCAGACATGAGTTTTCTAATATTTGCTTTCTCTGTGGTGAAAACAGGGGATTTGCTGAGGGCTTGGAGGAAGCTGCATCCTCCGACTGTTTCTAGAGGGAGCGACAGGAATGAGCAAATCCTCATGTTACAAACTGAAATAAATAACAGACACTTTTTGGAAGCAACATAGTTTGTATCAGTTTTGCAGAATTTTACCCAACGACTACTCTCTTTAAGAAAAGAACAACAAAAGAACACAACAGCAAAAGAAGCAGCAAGGAAACTTGGTTTTCCCTCGTCTGTTTGTTTTTGAGCAGGATTACACAAAAACAACTTGATGGATTTCCACAAAACATGCTGGAAGGATGTGGCATGGATCAACGAAAAACCCATTACATTTTGGTGTGGATCCGAATCAGGGGGAAGATCCAGAAGTTTTCTTGTCACTTTCTTTAAATAACACATTTTCACCATTTTCCCTGAGAATAATTCTGGGATCTTAATGGAAAAAAGTTAATCACATTCAGGGAACTGATATCAATGAGCGTGGGCCACTTGATTGAATTTTAGGGGCCTTGGTGCACGTACAGTAGGATTTCAGAAATCAATTTTATCGCCTGGAAAACAAAACAAAGCCCAGGACCAGTTAGCACAATGAAGTCATCAGGCTTGTTTGGTGCTGAGAACAGATTGAAGTTGGCCATTTCAATGTTGTTATGGAAACGAGATGAGACTGTGTGACAAGCAGACACTTATCGCATTTAGCTGCTCCGCACCCAATCTGCCCGGAGTCTGCTAATTGCCTCTTTTCTGTGAGCTGACCTGAGTGCTCCAATTTTCTCTTTCACTCAATCTCTAATTTTTCTTTTTTCCCCCAATTCCCTCATTCTGACTTTTCCATCATCCCCTCTTTCCCTCCGCCTGTCTCTCCTTCACTGTTTCTCTCTTGATCCTGACTCGGTGATGTCACCCTCTCCAGTGAATGAACACCGGAGGTAAACGCTACTATTTTGCTCCAGCGATCTGGGTTAAGAGCTCACTCACTGAGATAAGAGAGCATTGTTTTCTTGGCCCAGCCTTTTTACAACTCCCACACAGACACACGCGAGGAGAGCGGCAGCACGACACTGTCACACTCTCCAGACTATAATGTATGGCTGTGGCCACTCAATGAGGACCACATGTGGAACGGTGAGCATCTTAAACCAATGCTCCTCTTATTGAATGAGCTCATGAGAGATTTAAAAAGCAAACTCAGTGTATATACAATTTATTATGTTACTGTTGGTGCACAGGATGATTTATATGGTTTTGTGAAGTGCACTTTTTAAAATCTATTCCATTGATAATGTAGTTCTTCTATAATATATATTTCTCTTGGGCATTTCTCTCAAACTATGTCATTGTTGGTTTTATTGGTAATTGTTTAGTGTGTTTAGTGTCTAATTATCAGCATGTTTCAAATATTAGCGATAAAAACAAAGTTTCAAAGAGTTTAATTAATCTAAAATGTAATTAGAATGATAGAGTGCATATCACCTCCAAGGTTAAATCAAAGCTGCACCAAATTGCACACACTCAGAGATATTAGTTCCCGGACAGATTTCTTTTTCAAATCTTTTTGGATCTGCAACAAATTGCACTCACTCATAAAGTCCCTATATCTCTCAATGTTTAATGAAGTGAAATTCCAGGATCCACCCCAGATTCTGGGGGTTTTACCTTGACCCATATCACACCCTTCCACCAAGGTTTGTGGATACAATCAAACAAACAAAGGCAGATGAATAAAACATTACCTTGGTGGAGGTTATACAATGTCACTAAAAACTATTACTGGTATTTAATCTAACTGCAGCATCGCTTGTGTGGCCACATTGATCATTTACAGACTGATTTAGTTTGTTCAAAGAGCTGGTGCCATGTTTGTAGCTTCAGGATCTCAAATGATTAATTATTATTTGCACTTGTTGATGGGACTGCATCACATTGTGTGATTTGCAGAGTTATCATGGTTCATTTTATTTCCTCATTCTTATGATATTGCTATGGTAACATCTCTGAGGTGGGTGTTTTCTATTGTTTTGGTTTTCATTATGAGATGTTTAATTTGAGTGTGTTTTTTGTATCAGGTCTGGTTTTATCATTTTCACTCTGAGGTTGAAACTGGTCCACACTTTAAACCAATTTAACGAATAGATTCTGATAAAGGTTTTCTTTGTACCTGAAAAGCATCCTTTCTATATTTTTACTTCTTATTACGAAAACAAATATATTTTTCTTCCAATTGCACTATTGTGCAATTAAATTCTTATTTATATCTGAAACTTCTCTCATCAAAATGTCCCAGATCCTAGTTCTCTTCTTCTTGTGATTCGATTTACTAAATAATACATTTAAAAAATTGTACATCTCCGAAAAACGCTTTTGATTCTTTCACCAGACACACTCACACAGGATCCCACTCATCACCTGTCACTGGTCATATATCATTTCTGTCTCCATCAAGGTTCTTTTAATTCAACTCGTCTCTCCTCTCGTTTTAATTGTCTTGTTTCTCTCCTGTTTTCTATCCTGTCATTAATCTTAATTCGTCAGTGTTCTACGTTGAGTTGTGGTGTACTCTGGATAGAGGAGAGAAAACTAAACCACACACACCTCCTCCGTCTCCCTCTCACACAGTCTCCATCATCACGTCACGTCTACGTACCGGTACTTCATGCCTGTGAGCTTGGCAGTGGACTCCTTGAGGTTATGGTGGTAGCGGTGGGTGAAGGAGCCCAGGCTTCGAGCTATCAGGGCCACGGTGCGGAAGCGCGTTCGGGCCTGGCTGGCTGTATTGGGGCTGGTGGCGTTCTGCTTGCTGTGCTCGCCGTTACGTGGGGCCTTCAGACCGTGGTCCGTACATGCAAAGGACACCTGCATGGTTGTCGGCTAAGGCCACTAGAGCTCCAAGACAGGCGAGTGTTTGTTTGAGGTCCTTAAAGTACCTGACAGTGTTTTTTCTCTCCCTTCTGTCTCTGGAAGTTCTTTTTGTCCTTGTTTTTTTGAGGCTGGACGTCAGTGGTCCAGGCCAGCTCTACCCGGTGCTGCTGAATCTCATGCACAAATCAGAGGCAGGACTGAGGTGGAGCAAGAGGTTCTGTTCAGTTTCTTCAGGGACAGGAATCTCAAGCTGAGGTTATCTCAAAAATTGGACATAACAATCCCGCAGTCCCGGTCAGTGCGTGAAGTGCTGAGACGAGGAGCCGGTCTGACACCACCTGAAAATGTGACAAGAGGATGGAGATGGAGGGAGAAGAATGGAGGAGAATGGGAACTGAATGAGTCGTGGAAAGAGTTGCCCGCTGCGAGGAGGGAATGCAGTGAGTGTCGCAGAGGGTTAGAGGGGGAGGCTGAAAAGTGCGACTACAGAGGAGGAGGAATAATCTGGTAAACCAGAAATAAGACTGACTTGAGAAAAAAAACACATATTTTAGTTTTTCCAAGCTGTTTTCTCCACTTTCACGCCCTTTGCTCACATCTCTAAGCAGCTTCGACATAGCTATACAATGATCGAGAGCAATCCTGCCCTACTTTTCTTTCTCTCTTTCTTTCTTGCATCTCCCCTTCCTCATCCTGTATAGTTTCCAACTAAACTTCAGTCTCCTGCTTATTTTTAATTTGTGTATTTCAAATTCTGCCTCTGACTCCTCTTTTATTGTCTTTCTCTTTGGGGTGTCTCTCTCTCTTGCCCTCAAACTGCAGCTAATCCTTTTAGTCAAACACCTGGAATGAAGAGAGTAACACTGCACCAGCACCCTGAGCCCTCAGCGCTGTGAAAACCCATCCCCTTTCACTCCTGTCAAACATCTTTAAAACAAGGTCATGCTTGAAGCAAACACTGTTCATTCACAAATCTACTTACAACACACACACACGCAGAGACCAAATCTTTATGGATACAGGTGTTCTTACACACATGGGATGTCAGGACGAGGCAGGGATGAGATCCTTGACTGAAGTGCGTCTTCCTGCAACTTTTAGAGGAATCAAGCGGCTCTACACAGGTCCTGCAAAGATCCGCATCCCAACAGAAGCAGCAGCAGCTTGTGATCTGGCAGCTGTCCTCAGATCGGGCAAACAGCTTTGTCCTGTCTCCAAAGTCCGCAAGGAAGTAACACAGCTTTTAAGGTTCCCGGCTTTGCAGCAAGAACGCTCTGCTTGATAAAGGGACCCTGGAATGGTAATGGACAAGCAGAGAGCAGGAGGAGGAGGAGGAGAGAGGAGGATGCATGGTTCATCGTTTCAGAGAGAGAGAGAGAGAGAGAGAGAGAGAGGAGGACAGATGCAGTGAGGAGGCGATGAGCAGCGCTTGGAGAGAGGGAGCCTGGCGCTGAGTGAGGGGAGAGAGACAGCATGTATTGGCTGCTGGCTCTGACTGACTGGCTGAAAGAACTGCAGTGTTTTTCACTATGGCGCCACACACTCAGTAAGAGAGCGAGAGAGAGAGAGGAAGAGAGAGAGAGGTATGTTGCGAATGGGAATCAAGGCAGCCGATGTTGATGTGACTTGATGTGTGTGTGTGTTTGTTTACTTAGAGAAATGCACCTCAGGCAGGATGTTAAGGTGGCGTACTGTGGTCGAGTACAGTAACCTCCATGAGGATGTCACCGACACGCTTCACTTCACCGTGGTTGACCTGTCAGGCATTTTACCCTCTTTCTGTTGTCTGCTATCACAACACACGTCCTCCACGTACACACAAAGGTAATCACTTCCGATCCCTCTCCCATGAAATAATTTCACGGTGCTTTCTTATTCTCGCACGGTGAAAAGTTGGAGGCTACGGCTAAGGCTCGCAGAAGAATCCAGAGAGACCCTTTCTGACTCTGACGTCTCAGAGCAGATGTTAACAAACAGATCAGATGAAGTGGCACAATGAAATAAAGCATTAAACCAGTGTTGAGGCAGAGCAGCGTCTTCACCTCCTCCCCCACTTAGCAGCAATGTGACAATGCAGGATTTCATGGTTCATTGAACCTCCACAAACCTCGAGGCCAACGCAGTTTTATTTATATCCTCGCGACTGCATCTGATAAGAGAAGACGCTGGTAACAGTCTTTTTTTGATGATAAGTTGGCTCATGGGTCAGAAGGAGCGTTGGGGAGGTGGTCAGTCAGACTGGATACATGTTGTGAGAGAATAAACTGTGCTGAATTGATTATACTATTTATTTGATTTTTCTTCCATCCATCCATCATTATTGCACATTTTCTTAAAAAGCCCTTCTGAGCCTCAGCACAGAACTACCACTTGTTTCACAACCAGAGAAGAACTCCTGGTGACAAGAGAACCAATCCTGATGTGTAAACCCTTTAACACCTTTAAAAGAACAGAAAAGGTCTATTTGAAAAAGTCTTGGCTTGTTGTGGCGCTCTGGAGAGGTAACTGCGCTGTTGGACAAAATATCAAACATGGAGCATCACCCTAATGTCACCTCCGCGGCTACAACGACCCTCCGGTTGGTCCTATTTAAAAGTGTGTCAGTCAAAAGCGTCAAATGGAAATGTTACACTCTCGGCTGGAATCCCCAACAGACGATAAGTCTGCTACCCCGAGGCAAACCACTCTTCCTTAATTGCTCCGGTAAGAACTGATAATAGAGTTCTGAAATTGTGTTGCTAAGACACAGACCTCCATATTACGAGTTTGTTGAAATAGTGTAGTTTAGAGACAACAAAGCAGCAGTGAAGAGACCGACTCGTCCCTCCGTAGTCACCTAACCCTGGATTTCCCACAGTTTGGAACATATATTGGTAGATTTTGATGGTGCAGCCGGGACATGACCAAAATACTGTATGTATTTCCTTTCTCACACCAGCAGCCCCTGCTCTCTACAGAGGATTGTTAGATTCCATGTCCCATAATTACAGCCCTGTAAACAGTCTGCTGCTCGACTAAACGATTTTTGCGTTTCACATTTTGCTTTTCAAAAGGCTTTTCACCATCTAATAGATAGTCTTCCTTATCAACCTCAACCTCCTGCAGAGAAAATGAGAGATAATGAGGGGGGAAACCTTTCCAAGCTGTCTGTGACATCACTGCAGCAGCACCAACTCTCTCTCTCTCTCCTCCATCTCTTCTTTCTCTGTGGATTAACTCCCATTTCCCTTTTTCTTTTTTCCATTTTCCATCTTCTGTCTGTTATCTCTTTTTCTCATGGCCCACTCTTCCATCTCCCTCTAAATCATCATTTAACACAGGACTCTCTCCCTCACTCCGAGTCCACAGTGTTTCCCTCTATATGCTGCAGATTAGACCGACAAGTCATTGTGATGCACTGCACATACAACACCAGAGAGGCAGAATTTGTTTTTTTAATCTGTCTTAATAAGCTGGTTCTGACTTCATGCAGACATAATGGGCACAGATACCAAGTGCTACAAACATGCATGAAACACAGAGGAAGAAGCTCGACTCTAAATCTGAGGTTTTGAATGAAAACGTAAGGAAATCATCATCATCCTCCTCATCATCCTCATTTCCACCCTTGTGACATTCACAGCTATCATCATCTGTATTATTACCAGGCCTGCCTTTGCCACAACCTCCTCTTAGTTTCAATTTGATGCACTTTGGTGACACTGATTAATGTTGACGTCCTTATTGTGACGGCCCCTAAAGATGCATAGTGACCTTCTGCGTTGTCCCGGCAGGCATTTGGCCTCAAAGAAAGGAAATTGAAGTTGCTGCAGAGCCATTTATTTCTAATATTTAAGTGCTCTGCGGTCCATGGATTCAGTATCGATGAAATGTTTGTGCACGCTCACAATTTAACCGCAGAAAAAAATAATGGCGTCTGAGCTCAGTGGAGTTTTATTGAAATGTGTTTTCCCAGGAAAACTGCTCATTTTAAACAATGTCAATGAAGATTGTTATTGATTGTCGATATTTATTTGTTCACAATAAAACGCTTAAAGGTCCAGTGTGTAAGATTTAGGTGAAAGGGAACTATTGGCAGAAATTTAATGTAGAATAATCCTCATGATGTTTTCAATAGTTTGTTTCTTTACCCTGGAAAAGGCCCTCTATTTAAATACTTTATATTTACATCAAGGGGGGTCCTCTCTACGGAAGCCGCCATGTTTTTTACATAAGTCCAGACTGGACAAACACCTTTTGAGTTTTTATGACAACTGAAGCTACCACAGGTTATTTTTCATGTTTGGAAGGAGAGGGGTGTTCAGCCGCAACATGCAACCTCAACAATGGATATCACTAAATTCTACACACTGTCCTTTTAAGTACTAGATATAGCAGTTTCATATGTAAAGCAGATTTAGAGCTATATGTGCAATTATATCTGGACCTCAGCAAATACCCACAATGTGATGAATTCTTTCATTCCAACTTCACCATATATATATATGTATATGTATATACACTGTATATACATATTCTTGAGAAATCTATGTATACACATACAAGCTACCTCACACCAGTACTCATATTTCTGCAATATTTTTGTTCATATTTGTTAAAAGTGTGATTACATTTTACTCCAATGACAAAAATTCAGATTGTACAGGAACTGGTTATCATTAAAGAACCTGAGTCGAGCTTCACTCAACTTTGAACAAACGGGTAATTGCTCTTTTGCAGCATCACCACAGGCCAAGCAAACAGCCACACAGTCAAGTTTAGAACAGTTTCTTCCCTCTCTCTATGGACAGGTACAAGGTACAATCCAAAAGTGAGATACACTAAAGTTTGTAACTGCTCCCAACACACACGCACACACGTACGCACACGCACGCACACACACGCACGCACGCACACGTATATGAGATGATATAATTTACAGTATAGTGTGAAAGACACGAAGATAATTGGACATCAGGACCTAACTTTATTACTTACTCCAATCCTCAGTCTTTCAGATACTAATACCTGCGACTGAAGACATGACTGCATGTCTGTCGGTGGCCTCATGTGTCTCAAACGTCAAGTCTAATTACGGAGGGGAATTAATGCTGGGTCTTGCTGTGCGGAGACAGACTCTTCCTTATCAGGAGATGATGAAAGCTGTAGGTATTTAACAGGACCAGGGACCCTGCTGTGCAGTTCAACTTTATCCTTGCTTCCAGTGGTTTCAAATTATAAAAATCGGAGCAGAGTAACAAACAGGCTGCTGATTACCCTGATTGGGCTCAGGCTAAATTCACATTTACTTGAGAATATCAAAAGAAATTGCAGTTTGTTAAGCAGAATAGCCGGATAACCTCAAATTATGCAAAATGCAAGTAATTTAAATGTATCTCCTTCAGCTCTCTGTCACTACAGAGGATACAGCAGCCTTAATGTGCAGCATTTATCTGAATGTACTGAAGATATTTGGATTTTTAAGTGTGTGCACCCTTCCTCTGTGAATAATATCCTACCTGTACACCATGCTGGCACCAGGTTGGGCAGACGCCTGAAAAAGGTGGCTGTGCACATGAAGAAGTTCCTCCAAACTGTGCGGCTCTCGAGGTCTGCTGCTGGCTTCAAAGCCTCCTGGTGGGCAGCTGGTGGGGCTGGAGGGGTTCACCCGGGATCCTGCCCCCTGCCTCTGCTGGATGGAACTGGGGCAGCGGTCCAGCCTCGGCCCCCCTCTCTGCCTGGGCACAGGGATCTCAGTACAGGCTGCCTTGAGATACATGTTTGGATCGGCCTCGTCTCCCACAGGCCGACGGTACCCTCTGTTTTGTTGGCAAATCTCCTCCATTATATTTAGTCATCCTGCGACGAGAGTCCGGCCTAAAATCTTCTCCATGTAAGAGCAATGCAATGTTGGCCATGCTGAACCAAAGAGGATATTTGTGTTTGTTTGCTGGAGAGTTTTTGTCATGCCTTCAGGGCCGACAGGGTGATTTAAAGTAATGACACTATTTCCATAGAGATGTCGGACAAAATAGACTAAGCCAAGGCAGCTGGACAAACACAGATGCACACAAATAAAATGATCACTCCAACAGTATCAGAGTGGACAACAGTGAGGCAGCCAGAGACATCTCTGTGTGTGTGTGTGTGTGTGTGTGTGTGTGTGTGTGTGTGTGTGTGTGTGTGTGTGTGTGTGTGTGTGTGTGTGTTGGTTGTGATTAGGGTTAGGGTTAGGGACCCATTGGAGGTCAAGATATTCTTCCATAACTTTCTTTCTGAAGGTCATAGAGACTTGGAAATTGGTTCCATCTCCACTAATGTGGGTATGCCCGATCCATTGGTACCACCCCCAAGCTTCTACGACCTTTGGAAGGGNGTGTGTGTGTGTGTGTGTGTGTGTGCGTGTGTCATACCTGTGATGTCAACTTTATTCTTAGATGATTGACAAAATAAAAGACAAAGGCAGCTTTTGTTTGAGCTGCTGGCGACTCGAGTGAGAGAAGCCCGCTCGTCCCCGAGGCAAGCTGATCAAAGCCAGAGGGATATTTCTGTCTGCTCGTCAGAAATATCTTCTTGATGCATCTGTTGCATTTAAAGCCAATCAAAGCTGTGGCAGAGACCAACTGTGTTCTGGTCTGGTAAAATGAGTTACAAACAAAGTGATTAAATGAAAACCGAAACAGAAGGGGCTTTGGAAAAACATATTTACATAGGATTCATCACATATGAAGAAGGAATTTAATATGAATTGTCTTCAAGAGCCAAGAGTAGTGAAAGTGGATGTTCACCAAAAGAACAAAATGTCCACCTTGATTGTCTGGCTATCATCTTTCCACTGTGACTGCAGGACAAGTATTATCTTTTCTTTGCATGGTGTAAGAGTGACAGTTTATCCATATGGGTAAAAGTTTCAGATTTTTTTTTTTCATTCATCCAAGTGTAAAAATAAAATGTACGTAACACTACATCTTGCATATGAAGTCACATGGAAAGCCTCTTCTTTCTAGTAGTAGCGGGCTGCCCTCTTGTGGAGAGAGAGGCGGCAGAGAGAAGTTACATTTGCACATGCAGGTTTCCCACACACAGGTTTGCTATCCCTATCCTATATCCCTGACCTTAAACCGGGAGCTCAGAAATGAGGTTTTGCCTCATCGGGACCTGGCATGTGGTGCACTGGTCAACACGGCACATCCATCACTCATTCACAGGCCAGAGTGTGTGGGTGCGGAGGCTGAAGATGGAGATACTGTAAACCGTTGGATGAATATGGTGTGTCTGTTGTGTCCTCCCACTCAGTGTGCAGTGTGAGAGGCAGAGCATTTAGTCTATTTCAGTCTCTGGATATGTGAGGCCTTTTCTTCACTCTTCCCTCCAAGACCACGGTGACTCATCGACATTGTACACAATCTGACTCCGGCAGGCGAAGTGCCATAGAAAAATCAGACCTTCACGGTGGAACGACACTGTGGTCGATCAAACGCCTCCACACACTCTCTCAGATTAGCGTTGTTGCATTTCATACTTGGTTGACAGGGAACACTGATCTGTGAAGGCTTGCTTGCACTCTCTGATTTTGCATATTGTTTTGAATGCCCGATTGATTACTGAGATGAAGATGAAGCTGTTGAACATTGCCTTTGTAAACGTCAGATGTTTGAGAGGGAAATGGTTGATATTGGTTTTAATAATAATAATGATGTAAAGTATAATGCAGCAATATGTGGTGATGGTGGCAGTCATCCTGAACTCTTATATAACTGATAGTTATTTGTGACTGAGTGTTGACCGTTCGTTTTGACAATAATAAAGGCAAAGCTGAATCATGTATACGGCACAATTCAGACAAAAGGTAATTCAATAAAGGCATTAAAGCAAAAAGAGTTTGTTTTAAGAAGGAGTCAAAGCAGTGGGTGCTTTGGAGGAAATTAGACAATGTCCTCAGATATGACAGTTCCTGTCTGTCTGTCTAAATGCTCATAAATAATCAGCCGCAACAACAACTGAATATTAGCATCGACCTCTTTATTCAAACCAGATCACTTGGAGCTTTTACATGCCCAGCCAAGCAGAAATACACTTACAATTGACTTTCAAACATTATGCTTGTTCATAAAATCGCTGATAGGCCTAGCACCACTTTACTTAGCAGACCCTCTCCCCCCTTACATCACTGCTGTTAATCTGCGTTCTGCTGAGCAGCTGTTACTCTCAGTACCCAGGCCAAGACTAGAGACAGAGGGAGGTAGTGCATTCACTGTGGATCAGACAAAGCCACCTCACTATTCTCTTTTTAAATGCATTTTTATAAAATGTCTTCAAACTTTGAACTTTTGTTTGTTTTGTTGCTCTATTTTACCCATTGTCTTGCATTAACTTTAAATTTGTGATTGCACTGTTTGTTATTGTTATCATTACTGTTATTGTTGTCAAATGTTTCATTCTCTGATATTGTTTCCAAAAACACATGATGCATGGATCAGGTAGAAAAGAAGAAAAAGCTCTCAGAAAGTGAAACTGTAAGATCATCTGAGGCCACGGTGAGGAACAGTGGGTGTGTGTGTGTGTGCTTTGTCATAACTGTCTGGACACTACATACCATCTTTGTGAGCATAAGTACTCATTTTCAAGTTTAGACCTTCGACACATCTTAATACCATTACCATTATATACACTGTGAAAGATTCCTGGCCAGGTCATTACAGTGTGAGCAGAACCAGGAGAGACAGCTCAGAGCAGATTTTAATTAGCGCAGAGCAGCCACGGGGGCACAGGGAAATAAAGGAAGAGCTCCGTCTCCCTTTGCTCTCCTGCTGAGCGGTAATGCGGCAGTACATCTCATTGGACGTCCACTGGACCGAACACAGTGGGTCAATTTTAAAGGAAGGGATGATGGTTTTAATCAAACTAAAGGATTAATACAACTGTCGATATCTCTACAAACAAATGTTCAAACTGGAAAAATTGTCTGTGAAGCATCTGCTTTATTAAAATAGATCTTACACAATAATGTTATGTCCTGCGCTATCACCACTGAATAAACTGTTACCCATCATGGACAAACACGAGCACCCTCTCCACCACCTGGTGGACAAAGGAACATTTTCTCCAACAGACTGCTTCAGCTCTGCAAGGTCAGAAACAGGAAATCTTTCCTGCCCACGGCAATAACACTGTACAACACCTCACCTCTCACAACCCTGAGCCGTATCGTCTCTGTCCACACCAGAACTCTCTGCTTACTCCTGGAATAACTGGGAATTTGCATCTTGTATTCATATTTTACTTTTAATGTCATTTTCCTACCTACCTCACCACATTGTCTTTAAATGCAAACAACTGCTGCAACTTTGCACACTTGTCTCTTGTTCATAGTTTGTCATCTCTTGTATTTAATCTTTTGTTTATAGGCTCATTCATGGTTCCGTTATATTGTATTTAGTACTTTATTGTGTATTCTAGTACTTTATTGTGTATCATTTACTGAGTATGACATTTTCAGAACATGTTTATTACATTCTATTTCGAGCTATTTTAATTCTTCATATCTGTTTTATTGCAACTTCACTTGCTGCTGTAACACAATAACTTCCCTATTTAGGATCAATAAAGTACATCTATCTATCTATCTATCTATTTATCTATCTATCTATCT